ACGTTTCTTAACCGACTGACTCTCTTTGACTCATTTTCAACATGACTTTAGCATGTTTTCCCGATGAGCATCTAAGATCGCACCACGAATTTCGCTGCTAATAGTTGCGGTAGAATGAAGGCATGGGTTGCAACAGGCCTCACTTAGGATAGACATCGTGTTCAATGTTTGCTCTCTGGTAGAGCCCGCGTGCTACAGGAGCCGAGAACCTATAAATACGTCCTCTTCCCCCAGCAATTTGTTCTCCATTACCATCACTTGGCTATGCAGAGTCGAGCAGGTCTTCGATTCCTGATAAGTTCTTCCCTTTGACCTACTGGAATTTCACTGTATTGACATCTACAGCTACATCGTGGACCGACAAGCTAGAAAGTGCTTGTGAGATGCGACGACCACCAGGTCCACTATGTCACTCATGCCAGCCGATCAAGAAGCAGATTTGGGTTAGCTAGTCAAAGTACCTATGCGAACATCTGTCCACCATAGCAGCCGACCACTGTCCGCACCTGAATATACCGATGCAGAAGAGCGGTCGAGGTAAGTCTGTCTCCGCGCGACCCTATCCGAGACTAGACTGAATTCAAAGACGGTGCGAAACAAAGATCCATGCATTCCATCCAATATACACCAGCCACGGTGCCCTTTCCCGTGTCGTCTTTCAGAACATGTGAGTCATGCATTGCCTTGCCGATCGACAAGCTAACGATGGACAGGAAACCGTTGACAGCGCACCAGACCGAGTCCGAACCAGCTCTCCGTCAGTGCTCCGCGCAGGGTCATGGCTTACACGCCATTTCTGGCCCTATCACTTCAAACCATGCAACATGTCCTATGTGAAATACTGCAACTAAGGCCGCGGGCAAACAACAGGACGCATAAGCTCCAGACGTTCGTTGTCCACGACGAGGTGAGTGCAATATCACGCCTCCTGCTGCGCCGGGTCCGATGATTTTTCTCAACTCTGTGCCGGAGACACAAACACCACTGACATCTCTATGCCATTGCAGGAGCAGCCAGCCCATCGCCAACCGCGACAATTCTTGTGGCGAGTAACCTATTCCCGCCGAGTCAGATAAGACCCAGGGCCCAACGCGCCATCGCGTCTTCCCCTCCTCACCGCCTTCACACCATGAACAGCGGAGTGCCTCAACCTCTCGCTGTCTGCACGAAGCTGTCTCCTAATACAACTGTACAATTTTTTGTCACACGTGAGTTCGTCATGCGCCTTTGCCGTGTTGTGAACTTGTCGGTTCATCCAGCGCGACTTCTCGAAGCGACAGCCGGAGAGTGTGACGAACCTGGATACAACATGGTATATTGGTGACTGCATCGCAGAACTGAGTTGGCAGTGATCTAGTTGGTAAGCAGGTATGATCACGAATCTTGTTGATTATCTGTCTCAAGCATACACTCGGATTCTTCATGAACGGCGTAAAGTACAACACCTTGTCCAACTGAATCAACACTTGCTGACTCGGGTCTCACCACAGGAAGACGCCGTCAGATTCCCATCACCCGAATGCAAAGCGAGCAAATCTCTTATCTGCTCGAACTCCCCTAACACAAATACCATCTATGCTTTGTTTCTTCCACATGACTACTGGTGGCATCGACGAGTCGCTACCTCGACCTTCTCCCAGTCGATTTGGTTCATCAGATCATGCGTTGGTATGCCTACCTGATGCAGACCCAATGGAGCGCATAGCAGTGTCTGTCTCCCGGCATATGAACCCTCTCGTAGAATGGCCTACTTGCGGCTTGGATCCCTGGCGTCCAGTGGGTGACCATCGTTGTCCTCAGATGGCATCTAGCGTCTTTCGAGCCTGAAACCCCTAAGAAACCGGGAGACGCCAATGCTTTGTCTAGCTAGAGCCATATTTTCGTACTGGCGAGGTTGTTAGTCGGGACTGCTTGCATGGAGAAGGTGAGGCAAAAGTCCCGTCATTTCTACCCGAATCAACTAACAATAGCCAGTCAGCTTCAAATCGATGGACAAGACCGAGGATGGCCAAACGATTGAGAGGACCCATGACCCAAGAACCACGCCTGATAGAGTCCCCCTGATTCCTCTTCCTCTCCTCGTTGCTCAGCTTATCGACATATTCGAGCGAGCGGGAACCACTCGGACATACACGGAGCTGCATGCTATCAGGATTGTTTGTCTCGTCCCTGTTAGACAGGAGCTTGGCGATTTCATTCCTAAGCCTGTGTTTTTCTATCCAAGCCCGAGCACTACGTGTAAAGCCCATACACCTTGAACGTCACAGCAGCTGGAGGTCAGTCAAGCCATCCAGTATCCTTCGTCCATTGAGACCGTCGTGTAACATATCGCAATTGGAGGCGCAAGCACGTCTTGCCAGCAAATCACCGATTCCTCTACGTCTCTGAGCTCACTGTGCTTTGACCATCTATGATGTATTTCTCCGCGCCCAAGACGATATCTGGCATATCACTGTTGAGCAATTCACCGTGAAGGTGGGTTTGATGCCTGTAACAGCACCACGAGAGCCCTCGGGTTGTAGGACCTCTGAATGTCCCGTACAGCCTGTACGAATTATCTACCCCAATAAGCGCTTATGTTATATTTGCTTGGGGAGGATTTGAGCGGATGCCTGCTAGGGTCACACGTGGGTGAGAACACCCCTGTACAAATTACCAGGTCCCGAGCGGTGATCGTGGAGAGTGTCTTTACCAGTTCTGATTTCAGATGGCTCCTTGGGCCCCGATCAGAAATCAATCATGCTATATCAACAGCGGAGCATGATTTATCGCATGTAGTGGGGAATAAGCCTCGCAGAAGGTAACGACCGTTTCTTCATCGCTGTAGCGGACTTGTACGAGAGATTGGTTGGATTTACTGGCGGGATATTATTCACAAAGTTGCGACGGCTCCTACTTGTAGAAGGAGCGGATCAGATATTCCCGAGACAAAGCTACCAACGGCATGTTAACCTCGAGAGAAAGAAACCCTCACTCTCGCAATCGCTCTATGATGTAGGCATTCTAGTGTAGAATAGGTTCGAGCGACTAGCAATAGTCATCTCAAGCAATTTCTTTGGCGACGCAAGAAACAGAGCGTATCGCATAATCATCTTGGATTGAACCCATGATTCGGATTTACGAAATACATTGCATGGCTCTACACTTCCTAGTTCTGGTGTTGAGTGTACAGTATATTGCGTGATCATAGTTTGTTGAGATTCCTGCATGAATAGATGGTGTATACCAGATATATCAGGCATGAATCAGTCAGCTTAAATCCTTCCTCAAAAAGAGTATAGTTCAGGGGAAATCCTTCCATTTAAATAGGGTCTCTTTCTCAATGAGAAAGAGACCAGACTTAAACACCTCTCTGGAATAGACTGTTTTGCATGCTTTATTCATCTTCCATCATTAGACATTCTAAATTTCAACAAGATACAACCCCCGTTAGTCCTGGGATCCCGTTAGTCCGTGGCCATATGGCGCTCCTCTATTGAGCTTCCAGTACTCACGCCCTGCCGAAGGTACCGACTTCTGACGACATTAGATCTACTCTCAACTGTCCATCACTGAGGTAGAAATAACTGCTGCCCATTTTATTACCATAGCTGACCTCAGCTAGCCTTGCTTCTTTAAGATGGTCCATGAACGTGGCTTGTTGACGATCTTACGAGGCTGTATGACTAGGACTATATAATTAATAGGCATTAAATAATACACGATGCTGCTTGTTTCTCCTATATCTTGATGGAGGTTCCAGTTGTCTGTGCTCTTCCAGGTTTACTTTAGTGCCAAGCTTCTGTGAATCACTTATCCACTAGATCGCATCCTTAACGTTCTCTATCGTTCTTCATTACCAAGTGCTGGACTCTCTGAGTCTTTAGCGAGACAAGACCAAATTATCTACAAGTGCAGATTGGGTCACCGGTCAAGTTGGCCATGTGCACTTGTTAGTTTCCTTGCACTTATTTACGAGGGCGCAGATTCCACCCAATATGCTTGCACCCACAATGACGGAGCCCACCATGGTAATACACGCTACTATAAAATGCGCGAGTTTTAGCAAATTCGGTGTTTTCAATACTATGCAACTGACTCTAAGGTATCTGTCTACCTTGATATTTCTTCAATGATAGTAGCTAGACAGGTTTGTCTTGCGCCCAGATCACGGAGGTTTAAGCATAAGGCAAGTATAACCCGGAGCCCTTCTAACCTAACTATGACCGGTTTGCAGTGTGCTTAAACAGTTGGGCGGACATCTTGCCCCGGGTTTTGCTCAGCTGATTTAGGAGGACACTTCGCCCCCTTATTTGTTGTTGATCTGAAAGGTTATTTACCCACTAACCGACGCCATAGAACGGCTACATTCTTTTCTAGGCCCTAGCGTAAGACAGGCTGATCCAGTGTCTACACACTCTATCATAAGGTTTTGTATGTTAAAAGGGCTCACTTCGGGATACTCCAAGTCGTAACATGCTAAAATCTGTCTGTCTCCAAGGCTACGGGACAGTCTCAACGGCGACCTTCTTGACGGTTCTTCAATCAATCATGTCAATTGGTTCCGTCGGTACTAGTGCGTACAGATATCACGCGGTTCCACATTTAGCCTTAAGAGAGCTGTCACTGTACGCCGAATCATAATTAGTCGTAGGTCTCTCCGGGGCCCGCGGTCAGCCTGTAATATCGACATTCACCTCGCATACGCGCTACTTGCACTACCCCGCTGGATCCACTCTGGTTCTATGATTCTCCGAGGCCTCCTATTGAGCCTGTTAGGGGATCCGGTAAGAAAGAGATGAAGGAGAATCGCTCATGAAAAGAGTTTGGGTAGCAAGAAAGCGATGATCTTTATGGGAAACTCTTCAAAGTATAAAAGCAAGACCCCATCCGCTGTCTTTATAGAGCTATAAAAACCTACTAGTTGACAACATATTCTGCGTTGAATACTCCCAAGGAGGTATTAGTATAATAAATCCCAAAAATGTCCGGCCTCTACTTACGTGTCTAGATATCCAAATATGGTCCGCATCATATCAGTTATCACGAGCTTTCTTGCTCTCGCCATTGCAACAGAAGCCTGTGCAGGATGGTACCAGTGCAAGAACTCAGATGGGTCTCACTGCTGCGTATGTATAAAACCGATTCTCTTTTATAGTGCAATTATCATAACCATTTTCACAGGTAGTTGATTCCGCCCTTGGCCCAGGCGCATGCCCCTCCAAATGCAATGGTGGCCATGATTGCATTGGCCAGCTCACTGGCGACTCGCGCACCGAGTACGTCACCGTCATGAAACAAGTCCTCGAAGTGATATTAACGTGTATTGTGCAGGTGTAACTAATTTTCCTACCGCCAATCTCTGCATATAGAGCGGCGGGGTGCCCATATCCTGCTTCGATAAGGCGGCTTGTGACCTTGCCATATAGCCCCTCTGCCGCCGCCCTGTCTGCCCCTATTTCTACTAGTCTGTATCTTGCTTCGCTCCTTCTCTACTTCAAGCTTTTGTACACAGGTTGTGGCCTAGCCAGATTGAATCTAAGTCTCGCTTTTGCCCTTCCAGAAAGCTGCCGTCTCGATCAGTCGCCGGGTTGTATTAACTAATGTAATTCATGTTGTGATATGAGGCTGGTGCAGATCAGGGACCAAGCCGAACCATCGGAATTAATCCCGAGATATGTATACGAAGAACCAAGTTGATTTCCAATCAACTTGTTCTTCTCGTTGTATATATAGTCTCAAGCTTCCCACCGAATAGTAGGAGAATCAATCATCCTTTGAACTACAACAATCGACAAGCGAGCCGTCCCCCTGCCATATTGAATCATTTAAATCGAGGCCATTCCACCAACCCCCATTAATTGAGCTAAATCTAGCAGTTCTTACAATGACTAATCTTATGCCCAATCCCCCCGCACCCCCTACACCTTGGTGGAGCCCTTTTGACCGGTTGGTCTTGCTGAATTGGCAAGTCGCCCTGCGCGTGCGGTACTAACCCAACCCATCGCCTGCAACTGGTTGGTTTAGCTACTGAACCAGCTACAGACCCTCTTCAGCAGACAGGCCTCCTGAATGTGCAATCTACCGACTCGATCTTGTGCGTTTCTGGCGTTTCTTCTAATTCACTGCGCGTAGCGCTGTGTTATACAGCGATATATAGTGGCCTTCGATAATTGGATCTAGCATGATTTTTGATGTGGTCGGAGGGCTATTTGACCGTTCCATTAGTGGTTCCTCAAGCATCAAAGCTTGCTTTTGTAGTTGAACGACGGTCTTTGGCTTTTTCGGGGTGAATTGGCTTGATCTGCTGTTGTGTCGACTATAGACCTCTGCACAGTCCCGAAAGACCACGTCCGAACCAGACCTTGGAGGGCTTCGCTCCTTAACTTTGGGACCGTGTCCGGTCTGGGCCGGTCCGGTCCGGTTTGGTCTTTCGGTCGTACACGTGAGACAAACATACAGTAGAATCCCCTGTGATATGGACGATTTATGCGGAATCCGCCTGTATTTACGGTATTTTGCTTTCAGCTCAGTTTTAATTTCAGCCAGATCCTTATCATTTGTAAACATGGCTTTTCTTAGAGAAATATGGATTCTAGGTTTTCTGCCGAAATAGCGAGGTTTGTCCATTTTCTGCGAAAATGGCTTATCTGATTCTTTGTTTCTACTGATTATCTACAAAATCATCCCGTTTTGAACGCTTTGGAAGGCGCCTTGGCGAACGCCTCCGGGTAGTGCCCTCTACTTGCAGGTGGCTGTCGTCAGGTAGAGGGACCTCATTAGCACCATCTAGATCAATTAGCTCACCAGATATAGCCTCCCCTTCCCTTCCCAAGCGCACGCTTACTAGAAGGTTGGGAGGCTCCCTTAGTGGCTCCAGTAGTACACGGGCCTTCCTCATCACCACTGGTCGGATCAAAATCCTCTTCTTTCTCTTGGGCATCAGTCTACTCTCTCCTTGCGTGCTTCTCCTGGGTATACGGGTATTCTTCGACTAGAGCAATGTGCTCTGATCCACGTCGAGTTCCGTTGGGTGGGACGAATGTGCCGTTCTGAGACTTGGGATAGCATCAGGTGGTTATTAACGACATACATACACGTAGAGAAAGAAAGCTTGACTCTATCAACTCGAAGGAAAACCGCAGCCAAGGGGTAAATGAAACTCAAAAGTCTATGATACGGCAAAGAAGCAAAAAAGACGGGAAACAGCCTTTTTGATCCCACGGCACGCATGTCCAAGTAGGCGGCACAGCAAATATTTGCGTGTAGTGGTACTGTAATCGCGGGAAAGGAAAGATAAATATTATGAACTCGGATCAGTAACGAGATTGAAAGCTGGCCAGCGAGGAATTTACTCGCCCTCCTCGACATCGTTTGGTTTTAGTGCAAAAACCGGAGATATTTTTTTCATAAACGATGTGGTCTGTCGATGATCGGCATAGTTTCTACAAGCCATCTGCTAGAGATATCAGAATGGCGACAGAATTGGTAGATGGAGAGGACTTGTTGAGCTCAAAGAGAGTAGAAGCATCAGGGGAAGGTGCAGGACAGAAGACATAGCTTCTAGAACGCTCTACAGACCAGATAGACAATGAGCAGCTCGCCACTTGACAGGAGAACTTACTCTCCTGTGACAACAATCAGGAGAACATAACCACGGATCGGGTTTTAACCTATCATTCTGTTACCAGAATTCCGCGTGGTATTTCAAATACTTCAACCTCACCTGCCAAACCGTGTGTATTGTAATTTCTATCAATTGTCCTAAAGGGCAGGGCTACGTGCTTTCATAACTTGAGCACGCGCAAGCACCTGCGCCTCGATACAATATTCAGCATCAGACCGATCAAGGCCAAGACGCTCAAATACGCTTTAGATGAGAGGAAAGACCTTGCCACGTTGACCTGTGGATTTGTTTCGCACGCGGTCTCCCATGCCGTAAAGGAAACGTATTATTAATCGTCCGATCGGAATATCGCTAATATCTGAGCTATGGGTTTCGTGGAGAAGCCGACGCTTCTCTTGCGCATTATAGTTATTAGCCAAGCCTTGCCGTAGTATCCTGGTCCAGCCCAATCACAAATAGCAATTGCTCGTTGAGTGGGATATCGCAAGTCGATAGATGTGGCACTACTGTGCGAGTATCAACTGCGAAGGATCGCACCTTGCTTCATGGCGAATAATTCCTAGAGCACTACTGTAGGATTAGCCTTCTTGAAAATTTCCTCACTTATACAGACCGAGTACAAGCATAGTGGGCCAGGCAATACGAATCAGCTGCAAGTATGGAGCTAATGAATTGTTTAATCTACTCAATAACATATAGTGGCTCGCGACTATAGCCTGTCAGTTCAAGAGAGCCATCTCGGCACAATTCATATAGCAGTCATAGTTTCCGTCTGCACAGCTAAGGGAAGCATAGGTAAAAACGAAGACCCCAATGCAACAACAAATGATACATCGCTCGCCATGGCATTAGCTTGGCAATGAGTCAATTGAGGCTTATCCAGTGACCGTCCAATCCGGCGTCAATGATGAGCGTGTTCATATTCTGTTGGCTGAACTGGTGGTCGTACCTCAAGACCAATACAGACTGACCTTGGTCTGATATACATGGTTCGGCATCCAAGTAAACCTCCAATCGCATCACTGCTGCCGACGTAGGGGTCGGCCAATCCTCTGGCCCTCTGTAGCTTTGTTTGAACCCTGCCTGGTCCCCTTCTGGATCTCACTTTCGACGATTGCCAATCGACCGAAAATTTCCGCCAGATCGTTGCGAATGGTTTCATTCCAGGTTGCTTGGCCCTGCGATGAGCGCTCAATAGACCTGCGGAGACAGTTAGCGCTTTACATTGTCACTCAAGATGGACCACAACTGACCGCATCCGGTTATCTAGTCTAGATGTTGTTAGCAGGCCAATCATGATATGTGCTTGATGGGATTTTACTTACTCCGTCAGGCATTCCAGAGCAACCGAATTGCCATCTCCGGAAAGCTGAGTCTGCCCGCGTGGTTCCAAGTCCCTTTGGTGTCCAAACACAGTCTTTCGCTGTCGTACAGCTTCTTGCTCACTCTCATCGGCCGAGGTGCTATTGTCCTGGTCGACAAAGTCGTGTTCCCCCTGAAAGGATGAATCGTCCGCTGCGGTATCACCTGTAGCGGATGGACTACCAGTATCCTCAGACTCAGAAGACGACAAGGTCAATGCACGTTGCAATCGGCTTCGAAAGTTGTGTCGTCGAGGAGTGTGCGAGACTTTCCGAATTCCGCCCATACTTGGGTCTGAGTTACGCTGGGGTGAGGAGTGGTCCTACTTCTGGTTTTCTGTGATAGGAGGAGGCGCTCGGGTTTTATAGCATGTTGTATCGCGGGATCAGGATTGGCTGTTTGCTTGCTCGCAATTGAAGAGAGGACCGCAAGTGCACGCAATTTTCATTCCTACTTTCTACCCGTAGATATCTATTGCTGAATCTGCACATTTTTTAACAATGACTCACTAAGAGGCGGATCAGACAATTGAATTTACCAATTGGTGAAACAACGGGAAATTGTCAACAAGAACGGACTCTTGTGGCCGCGTTCAACGTTGTTGATTCTCAACGATGTGCGTTGCATCAAAAATGAGGGCTCGTTTGGGTCTCATAAACACATAAAAGTCGGTTTTATCTGCCACACTTCAATCTTTTAAACTCAACAACCTACATCTACAAGTTCACTTTCTGCAGTTTTCTTCACCTGTTCTGACCACTTCTGCCAACTACCCAAGCATAACCATGTCCCCACGTAACGCATGCGGCTGGCCAGAATGGGAGGAGAAAAACCTTCTTCCATGGTTGGATGCCCATCCGGAGCTGTCGTGGAAAGCTCTCTCCGACGCATATTATGAAGAATACCAGGTGCATCGAAGCGTTGAATCTTTACGAGGGAAAAAGTACCATATTCTGTGGAAGCAGAGTCGCACTGGCGCCAAAGCTCCCCAAAAGCCAGGCAAACCAAAGCGAGCCGTTCCCGTACGATGCTCCATGGTCGGTAGCGCTTCACAGTCGAGTCTTTCAGCCAAGACGCCTGCCCAAAGGAACATCGACAAATGGTTCCAAACGATTCTAGCGGTCGACCCTACCCAGCCTGATGACAGCAAAAGGCCAACTCAAACGAACCCAATTGCAGGTACGAAATACTTAATCGTCTCATATTACATGCTGATGCTTTGCCACAGACCGCTTGACGCCAGCACCGCTTCCGTGCCGGCCTAAAAGAACACGGTCGTCATCCTGGAGGTGGGACTATGTGCATCGTGTCTGTGCTGCTAGGAAGCTGAGATACCGGCGAACAGAACGTG